AAGGCTGGCTTAAAACTCAACATTCAAGAAACAAAGATCTTGACACCTGGCCCCATCATTTTGTGGCAAATAGAAGGTGGGGAAGAGGATATATTAACAGATTTTATTTTCTTGGGCTCCAAATTCACTGCNTGAAGCTGAAGGTCCAACACTTTGGCCACCTGATGCTAGAGCTGACTTATTGGAAAAGACCCTGATGCTGGGAAAGATTGAAGGCAAAAGGAGAAGAGAGTGGCAGAGGATGAGATGATTAGATAGCATCACTGACTCATTGGACATGAATCTGAGCAAACTCCAGGAAATAGTGAAGGAGAGGGAAGCCTGGCATGCCACAGTCCATGGGGTTGCAAAGAGTCAAACAAAACTCAATGACTGAACAACAACAAATTGTTCCACTGTGAGAAAAAAGAAAACCATGCCATCTGTGACAGCCTGGATGGACCTAGAGGGCATTATGCCAAGTGAGATAAGTCAGACAGAGAAAGACAAATACTGTATGTTATCACTTATATGTGGAAACTAAAAAATCCATAGTCACAGAAGCAGAGAGTATATTGGTGGTTGTTAGGGACTGGGAAGTGGGGGAAGTGGGGAGAATTGGTCACTCGGTCATGTCTGACTCCTTGCAACCCCACGGCCTGTAGCCCCCCAGGCTCCTCTGTTCATGAAAATTTTCCAGGCAAGAATACTGGAGTCGGTAGCCATTCCCTTCTCCAGAGAATCTTCTCGACCCGGGAATCGCACCCAGGTCTCCTGCATTGCAGACAGATTCTTTACCAGCTGAGCCACCTGGAGGCCCCAAACTTAAACAATATTACATGTCACTTCATCTCAAAAAGCTGGGGGCACCTCGCTTTCTAGACTTCTTCCTGTATTAAGATCATTTTTCTACAGGACCATGCCCATAAACTTTCTAGAAATCCTTTTGTCTCATTGGGAGGCACTGCCTCATATTTTTGAGCTCTTAATAAAGGGTCATAAAGCCACACCTTTAATTTGATCAGTACTCACAGGCTTTTTCACTTTGACCGCCTTTTGTGACTGGAGAGACTGGATATGAGCAAAGCTTTTCCTTCCCAAACTAGCAAGTCAAAGGCCTTCTGTAATTCCTCTAAATTCTGGGAAATCAGTCAATTCCTTCTATAGGTCAGCCCTTTCTTGCTAACCCTTATGATACTTAGCAGTGAGTAACCAACATTATGTCTCAGTATTGCCTTAGCCAAATACTTTCCATTTTCTATTTCTGTTTCTATTTCTGGGTAATCACAGGCAACAGCTGGCCAATTATTTCACTACAATGTAACATGCATCATCATTTTTTCTGCTCCACTAACAATTTCCTCACAGCTTTCACTCTGTATTTTAGCCTTTTCTTAGGACATTACCTACCTCCTGATACCAGTTTCTGGAACAGTTACCTGTCATGGTAATAATGTTGCATGGCAATTCACATTAATCATAACAACATAAAATAACAAGCATTTATTTAGCCTATGAGCCTAAGCCTAAGTCTAGCCCAGCTAGGGACTGATTTTTTTTTTTTTTTTTTGNTGATAGACTGAAATGGTAACTGCTCGCAGGAAATGGAAAGTGAATGGAGGAGTTAGTACTGCTGAGAAAGCTGGGTAAAAGTATTGGCTGGTGAGAAAGACTATGCTTAGATCTTTCTCCAGGACCCTGCACAGATTCTGGGCATGGGCATTACACCAAGCAGGGAAGGTATGGTGCTACAATCAGGAAGGTGTTGCCTCTCTAGAGACAGGTAAAATCTTCTTTTCTGATGTGTACAGTCAACAGATTCACCCGTCCTAAGTCTGATAGGAGACCCTAGGTTTATCCTGCATCAGAAGAAGAGGCCCTCATGTGCAACATGAATAGACCTCGAGGGCATTATGCTGGGTAAAATAACCAGAGAGAGAAGAACAAATACTGTAAGATTTCACTTACCTGTCCAATCTAAAAAATATTATAGAAAGAAGAGAAGAACTGCCCAGCCTGGTGCTCTGTGATGACTTAGAAGAACGGAATTAGGGTGGTGGGAGGAAGACTCAAGAGGGACGGGATTTACATATAGTTATGATTGATTCATGTTGTTCTGTGTGTGGCAGGAACCAACACAGCATTGAAAAGCAACTATCCTCCAATTAAAAAATAAATTTAAAGAAAAGAGCAGAATGGACTGGAAGGTGGGAAAATGAGATGATGATCAAAGGGTACACTTCCAGCTATAAGATGAATAAGTTCTGGGGATCTAATGTATAGCACAGTAGCTATAGTTAACAGTATTGTATAATATATTTGAAAGTTCTTAAAAGGGTAAATCTTAAATGTTCTCATAATATGTATACACAAAAAGGTATGAGGTGACAGGATTCTCTGGTGGCTCAGAGGGTAGAGTCTGCCTGCCAATGCAGGAGACCTAGGTTCAATCCCTGGGTGGGGAAGATCCCCTGGAGAAGGGAAAGGCTACCCACTCCAGTATTCTGGCCTGGAGAATTCCATGGACTCTATAGCTCATGGGGTCACAAAGAGTTGGACACAACTGAGCTACATTTTTCTTCTTCTTTCTTTCTGTCAATGCAGAGGACACAGGTTCGATTCCTGGTCCAGGAAGATTCCATATGCCTTGGAGAGACTAAGCCCAAGTACTGCAACTACTGAAGTCCATGCACATAGAGCCTGTGCTCCACAACAAGAGAAGCCACCTCAAAGAAAAACCTGCGCATTGCAACTAGAGAAAACCCACACACAGCAGTGAAGACCCAGCGCAGCCACAAATAAATAAAATTGTAATTTAAAAAAAAATAGTCTTTGGGGGAAAAACAGATGCAAGAAGGATGTTATGATTCCCCCAATTATTTAAGCCAAGTGCACATTCTGAGTTGTGGTTTCATCCCATATCCATAAAAGTACAGATTTAATTTCGAGGTTAACATGGGTATTTATCCTTTAAAGGATATCTTTGGTCAGAGTAAGGACAAATTTCCCATCAGTGCTATTTATCACAGACTTTGCAGCCTTTGGGAAAAGCAGATCCTGTCTCTTTCCTTATAATCTCTCTTATTTTTCCTGTAAAGAATATATCAGCATGGAGAATATATCAGCTCCCTTGATTGTTTAGTCTGCAGCATGACTGAAATTGTCCTCAAATGACTCTGAAACACTGGTAATGAGTCAGAGACAAGGATCCTGCAGCCACTACACAGGAAAAATATTGGGAGCAATAGCTAGCCTGGAATCTATCTCAAACATTTGCTTTCATCTCCCCCACATGAGCATTTTTGTTCAACACACCAAAATTGGGGGGAGGAGTTTTGGATTTTGGGGGGCTGCATCACACACCTATACCCTCGTCAGGGAGATCAGAGTCCTAACCACTGAACTGCCAAGGAATTCCCGAAACATCATAACTTTATTTGTCTATCTGCCTGCCCCAGGCCTTTGTTGCTATGCACGGGCTTTCTGTAGTTGCAGCGATCAGGTGTTACTCTTCATTGTAGTGCACAGGCTTCTCATCGCAGTGGCTTCTCTTGTTGCGGAGCACAGGCTTTAGGCTCACGGGCTTCAGTAGTTGTGGCTCTCAGGTTTAGTTGCTCTGTGGCATGAGGGATCTTCCAGAACCAGGGATTGCACCTGTGTCCTCTGCATTGGCAGGCGGATTCTTATCCACTGTACCACCAGGGAAGACCCGAGTAAACCATGATTTTATTTAGAGCTATTCCTATCCCATCTAAGTCTGGAAATTCTTTTATTAAATATTTGTGATTTTCCAGGTAGCCTGAGGGTGGCAGCAATGGACCTTAGGTCTCCAAACTAGCCTGGGCACCTTAAAGGAGCCACATACACTTAAGAGACTGCAGAGAGGCTGCGGGAAGCTGTGTTTGAAGCAACACAGGCTGGATGTGGTGTTTTATCAATGTAGTGCTTAGGAAAATAAAAATTCAACTTTATGATCTGCAGATGAGACCTAATGTCTCAAAATAACTGCTCCTGACAGGGCAGAAAACAGTGAGTCACTATATTTGCTGATGCCCGTGAATCATGGCATCACAACGGGGGTTATTGAGAGCAACATCAAAGGGGGAATTTCTTTATATTTCTCATGTTAATTAGAATAAAGAAAAAATAATTGGAGAGTCAGTACTTAAGATGCATGTTGCAATGAGACAAAAATAATGGTAATGAACGTGTAACTATCAAGAAAATTATCTATTTATAATTACAATGAAAAACATAGGTGAATCGTAAAAATAATGTGTGAAAGAAACCAGACACAAGAGTATATAAACTTTAAAAAAAACAACAAGCAAAATTAAGGAATGCACCCCTAGGTAGTAAAACAAAGAAAAGCAAGAAAATGACTACCATTGTCACTACTATACCAGTTACCCCCGGGTAGAAAGTATTAAGAAGGGAGGAAGGATTCCGGGATACTAGAAATAATTCCTTGACCCGAGTGGTGGTCATACGGATGTTCACTTTGCGATGTCATTCGGTTGTATATTTATATTTTGTATATTTTTTTCTGCATGGTATGTTGTACAAAAAAAAAAAAAGTTTAGAGGACTTTCCTGGTGGCGCACACCTTCATGGATCACAGTCTTGTTGGGGTGAAAAGACGTGCCGAACTCAATGAAGCTATGAGCCGTGCCCTGCAGGGCCACCCAAGACAGGTCATAGTGAAGAGTTCTGACAAAAGGTGGTCCACTGGAGGAGAGAATGGCAAACCACTTCAGTATCCTTGCCTGAAGAATCCCATGGACAGAGGAGCCTGGCGGGCTACAGTCCATAGGGTCGCAAAGAGTGGGACACACGACTGAAGCGACTTAACACACCGCCCTCAGACGTTCCCGGGAAGATATCAGGTGTGTTGGCTCTTCCAGCCGCTAGGTGGCACCTGGAAGATTGCAGGCGCGCGGGCAAGACGCATGCGCAGTGCTCAATTTCAGCCGCACACCCTCCGCCCGTGCACCTGAGTTTGCACACACAGCGTGGAGCAGTGTGCACAGCGCTCACGCACGCGCAGTTACGTGCACGTACGTGCACATCGCTAACCGCGCTGTGCCGTTATCCCAGTATTTGTGGGAGCGGCCGAGCTGACCCCGCGACCCGGGATGTCCGAGCTGCCCGCGGACAAAGGTGTCCCACCGGCGGGCGCAATAAATGACAACGGCGACGTCCGGCAGGCGGAGGTAGGCGGCAGGAGGCCGGAGCCGGCCCCCGCGCAGCCTGTGGAGGCCAGGGACCGTCCGATGGCGGCGGCCGGAGAAGGTCCAATGGCTTCACCCGGGGAAGGTCCGGGGCCGGAGGCCAGGGAAGGTCCGATGGCGGCGTCCAGAGAAGGCCTGGGGGCAGCGGCCAGGGAGGCCCGGATGGCAGAGGTCGCCCGATTGTTGGCGGAGCCAGCGGAGGAAGAGGGTCCCGAGGACAGACCCCGGTCCAGGCCCGGGAACGGCCCAGGCCTTGCTGCGTTGCCATATCTCCGCCTCCGTCACCCACTTGGCGTTTTAGGAATTAATTACCAGCAGTTCCTCCGCCACTATCTGGAACACTACCCGATTGCTCCTGGCCGAATCCAGGAGCTTGAAGGACGCCGCAGGAGATTTGTGGAAGCCTGCAGAGCCAGGGAAGCGGCGTTTGACGCCGAGTATCAGCGGAATCCTCAGAGGATGGATTTTGATATTTTAACATTTAGTATAACTCTGACTGCATCTGAAATTATCAATCCTCTGATAGAGGAACTTGGTTGTGATAAGTATATCAGTAGAGAATAGTTTAATGATGCAACTACTTTCAGAACCTCTGCCTTCAAGACAGTATTATATACCACTCCTGTAACTTGATTTTACAAATCAAAGTACGTGAGAATAAGGCAAAGCACAGTTGGGGAAAAAAAGGAAGCTTATCAAGAAAAACTCAGAAGAAATGGAAAAAAGGTCAAAACCTTATGACTCTTCTGACGTCCTTTGAGTTTGTGATTGACCTAGATTCTTTTCCCAGCATTGTGGAAATGGCTTTTCAAATTGCTTCACTGAAGTGAAGAATGGTTTTCTACAAGTCCATTTGCGGGTCTGGCCAAGTTAGAGCTGAGAGTCGGAGAGGAGAGAGCTCGGCTTCTTTCAAAAGGGGTGAACTCTGATACCTTGAGATGACTGGCGTGAAAAGCGGGATAATCTTCTTCTTGGCGAAGGGCTCTGCGTCTGTGGGTTTAATAGCCATAGGGTCTGTGGTGTGGCCCGCTGCACTAGTAGTGGTCGCTGGGATGGCCCTTTAACTCCTGGAAGAGGAGCACTGAAACATCATGCCCTAAGAGGTCCTAGGTTGACCACAGGTAAAAATGAACAAGAACCCTAAAATGTATTGAAAGGAATCCTCTCCCAGCCCCCTGCAGACTGGAGGATCCACCTTCCTGGAGTCAGGAATCCTTTGAAGCAACATTTTATCTTTGGGGTTTGAACAAAATAATTTGTGGGCATAAAAATAAATTTGTTGAACACACACACACACAAAAGAATGGTTTTCTAAAATTGAGACTTGATGAAGAAAAACTGCCAATAGAGCCCATGGTGACGAAAGAAATCATCAAATAGCAGTGATAGGAACAGGAATTCCTGTAGGACTGGAAGGCCATGGAGAGAACTGGAAATTGTCAGTTCTGATGATTCTTGAGTTTTCTTCATGTCAGTTTCAATAGAAGTTTTTAGTGTAAGATTGGTTTTGTGTTTTATGAGGCATTTCAAAGGACAAGCAAAGTCAATGCTGTATATATTATATGATAAATTGTGTGTTCAAGAATATCTGAAATTTCTGGATTTTTTTCTTTTTTAATACCTTTTTGGTAAATATTTATAAGGCCCCCAGATATAAAGTGTACAATGAAAAGTCTTCTATCTCTGTCCTCCCTCCACCCAGTGCTGAGTACAATTCCCGTCTGTAACCACAGTACTTCTGTCTTTCCAGTTTCCCTATATATACATAAGTAAATGCAAAGCTGGGTGGTTTTTTGGTTTTGCTTTCTTCATTACAGAAGTTGGCAAATTATATTTATTGATTTATCCATTGCATTTTCAGTAAGAACCGAAGGGGGTGCATTTCATTCCATTCTGTGGTTACGTTGTAATTTACATAACCAGGAACATACTGATGGGCATTTAGGTTTTTTCCCATCATTTTCTATTGGCCAAAAAATGAAAAGCTATAATAATCTTGTCTGCATATCTCATAGCATGGGCATAAATATAGTATTACTCTGATTCTAAATGCAGTTTTCGTATATTGACATCTCTGAAATTGAGGTCTATCTTACATTTGATGGTGAATACAGCATTTTCATAAAAATAATGGCACATCTTAGATTCTTTATTATATAGAATATCTGTAGTATGTGCATGCATGCTAAGTCGCTTCAATCATGTCCAACTCTGTGCAACCCTATGAACTGTAGCCTGCCAGGCTCCTCTGTCCATGGGATTCTCCAGGCAAGAATACTGGAGTGGGTTGCCATGCCCTCCTCCAGAAGATCTTCCCAACCCAGGGATTGAACCTGCATCAAACCTGCATCTCTTACATCTCCTGCATTGGCAGGCAGGTTCTTCACCACTAGCTCCACCTGGGAAGCTCTCCGTAGTACGTAAGTTTGTAGGATTTCCAGAAGTGAGAATTCTGAGCTGAATGCACCCACTTGAAAGTTTATAGATATTGCTATGTTGCCTTCCATCCTTGTTGTACCACTTTGCACTCCCACCAGCAATTGCTGCTGGTCGGCATTTCCCCTATAGCCTCACCAACAGTGTTATCAGATGTCTGAATTTTGCCAATCTAGAAAGGTGGAAAATGGCATAAGAGTTTTAACTTGCTTTTCTCTCATTATGAGTGAAGTTAAATGTCTCTTCGTTTGCCTCACATGTATTCCCTTTTCCATGAACTATCTGTTCATCTCTTTTGTATGTATGTAATTTTATTTATTACTTTATTTTTGGCTGTGCTGGGTCTTCATTTGCTGTGTGGGCCTTCTCCAGTTGCAGACACCAGGGGCTACTCTCTGTTGGCAGTGCGTGTCTTCTCATTGTGGTGGCTGCTCTTGAGCTTGGGCTCTAGGGCTTGCGGGCTTCAGTAGCTGTGGCGTGTAGGCAGTTCCCGGGCTCTAGAGCACAGGCTGAATACTTGAGGCGCACAGGCTTAGTTGCTCCAAGACCTTTGGGATCTTCCCAGATGAGGGATTGAGCCCGTGTTTCCTGTACTGGCAGGCAGATTCTTTACTACTGAGCCACCAGGAAAGCCCCTGTTCATATCTTTTCTCTCTTTCTCTCCTGAATCATTTTGTCCTTTCTTTATTGACTGTGGTAACTACTAATGACATAGTGAGATGAGACATGATAATAGATTATAATGTGAGTTATGGATATTTTTTTCCTGTTTTGTCATTTGTCTTTCATTTTCCTGAAAGCCTTTTGGCATGGAGATTTTTGCTTTTGTTTCCTCTTTTCTTTTAAACCTGCCAGATTTGGGGAATTTCTTACCAGTCCAGTGCTGGGGCATGGGTTTGATCCCTGGTGGGGAAACGAAGATTCTGCAAGCTTCCAGGCATGGCCATAAAAAAAAAGAGAGAGAGAAACCTGCAAGATTTTGAACCTCAAGGTTTTCTTGGTATGTATGTATGTGTATGGTTTCATTACTCATATGTGAATCTTTGGACCATATGGAATTTATCCTGATGTACATACGGTATAAAGTAACGATCTAATTTCCTTTTTTAGATGGCTGCCCCGACACCAGTTACTGACTAGCCCAGCTGTTCCCTCCTAACTTTGTTTAAAGATGCTTCTTCATCATATACTAAACTGTAGCTTAAATTTTCTAATTAATTTTACATGTAATGGCAATGGTCTTTGTCGCTAAGTTGTGTCCCACTCTCTGCGACCCCAAAGTTTGTAGCCCACCAGGTTTCTCTGTCCATGAAGTTTCCCAGGCAAGAATGCTGAAGTGGGTTGCCATTTCCTTCTCCAGGGGATCTTCCCAATCCAAAGATCAAACTCACGTCTCCTGCATCTCCTGCATTGGCAGGCAGATACTTTGCTGCTGAACCACCAGGGAAGCCCATCTCGTTATACTCCATTTTCAGAGTGTTCTGGCTCTTTTTGTTTCTGTTTATTACTATATCAACCTTAAAGTCAGCTTACCTTATTTTGAACAAAGTTCTTTTATTAGAATCACATTACATTTAATACTTAATAAATCTGGCATAACTGCTATTTCTAACATACCCAAGTGATTCGTTTTTCCATTTTTTAAAAATTGAACTTTATTTATTTAGTTTTGGCTGCGGTGGGTCTTCATGGCTTTGGGCAGGCTTTTCTCGAGTTACAGCGAGCGGGGGTCACCCCGCTTCGGTGCGGTGCGCAGGCTTCTCATTGCGGTGGCTCCTCGTGTTGTGGAGCACAGGCTCTGGGCGCGCAAGCTCAGTAGTTGTGGCTCACGGGCCTCGTTGCTCCGCTACATGTGGAATTCGCCCCATCACGTCTCTTGCATTGGCAGGCAGATTTTTCTCCACGGCACCACCAGGGAAGTAAGTCCTGTCTTTCCATTTGTTAAAAACTTCCTTTGTGTCTTCCAGAAGAGTATCAATGTTTGTCCTTAAATGAAAGTTCCTAAAGTAGGTCTTTCATGGATCTAATCGTTTGTCGGTATTTTATCTTTTATGGTTTTTCTATAGTAAATGAGGATTATCTGTGTTATATTTCCTTCCTTTTTAAATATTTATTTATTTGGCTGTGCCGGGTCTTATTTGCTGCAGGCAGCAACTTTAGTTGTGGCATGCGGGCTCTTAGTTGTAGCTTGTGGGATCTAGTTCCCTGACCAGGGCTTGAACCCGGGCCCCTTGCATTGGGAACTCAGAATCTTAGCCACTGGAGTACCAGGGAAGTCCCTGTGTTATATTTCCTAAAAGCTTGCCCCCGTATATTTGAAAATAGTTCATTGCTGCATATTTATTTGATAGCCTGTTAACATCCTGAATTCCCTGTTTTACCGTAGTTTTTCATTTGAATCTCCTAGATTGGGGAACATTTCATGCAAATAGTGACAGTATGGCCCTTTTATGACCTTCATACCTCTGACTTCTTTCTCTTTGTTAGTTCCTTGGCTAGTACTTTGTAATGTAAAATAATATGAATGATAGTGAAATGTCCCGAATTTTGTCAGAAGCCTTTTTTTTTACTGTGCCCAGGCTTGACGGCCATGCAGGCTTTTCGCTAGTTGCAGAGAGTGGGGGCTACTCTCCAGTTGTGGTGCTCAGGCTTCTCATTGTGGCGGCTTCTCTTGGTGCAGCTCCCAGGCCCTAGAGCTTGGGCTCAGTAGTTGTGGCTCAGGGGGTTAGTTCCCCTCAGCATACAGGATTTTGGGATTTTCCCGGATCAGGGATCTAACCCATGTCTCCTGCATTGACAGGCGAATTCTTTACCACTGAGCCACCAGGGATGCTCTCAAAGGCCTTTTCATCATCTATGAGGGTATTATATTTCTATCTACCACCATGATTGCGTTCTTGCAATTCTTGCATTCGTCAATGATCCTAGGAGGTATAATCCACCCCCCTTTTTTTGGCCCTGCCAAGCAGTTGGCAGGATCTTAGTTCTCCAAACTGGGGAACAGTTCCCCGAACAGGGCTCAGCAGTGAAAGCGCCAAGTGCTAACCACTAGACTACCAGGGAATCCCCCTGGCCACTTCTTAGACTCCATTTCTATGAGAACTGCATGCACAGAAACTAAATTTTGTTTCTTTTTCTCCTGTTAATCTGTCTTNCCCCCCCTTAGCCAGGACCCGGATTCAGAGGGTGAAAGTTGTGCCTTGGGACCTTGCCCTTTCTTTAGAGAGTAACGTGTTAGGAGATTTACAGGAACATCATCACCTGACCTTTGACCTAACTTCAAGCACAAAGGATCTGACACCAGGAAGCTTACAACAACCAACCATGCCTCTCCCTCACCTTGCCTGTAAAAGGGCTTTGCTGAAAGCTTTCGAGTTTGGATTTTTAAGGCACGAGCCACATCTCCTTGAGCGGCCCTGTAATAAACATTTCTCTGTTCCAAACCCCGACGTCCTGGTGTTATTTGACCTCGCTGTGCATTGGACTTGCATTCAGAAACACTGTCGCTGGAAATTCCAAAGACTTACATGACACCTTCTGGGAACCAGGGACAAAGTCCAGGTAAATTAACATGATAGTTCTTCCAAGCTAATACTGGCCTCTCTTTATGAATTCTGGGGGAAGAGTCTCTGCCCCTAAGATTGATGTTCCAGTTATCTCTCTGCGCAACAAAGCACCCCAGAATTTAGTGGCTGTAAGCAACAACTATTTTTTCACTCTTCTCTCTTCTGTAGGTTGACGGGCTCAGCTCAGCAGTTCTGCTCCTGTGATGTTGGTCAGAAGCTCAGTTAGGCTGGAACGTCCAGGACATGTCACTCACACGTCTGTCACCCTGGCAGGGGCAGGCTGGAGGCT